CGTAACAATAGTCTAGCCTTGAGGTAATAAAGGCATGTACTAATGTTTCTGCATCACGCAGCGATAAGGCATTTCTTATTCTGGCAATGTTGCGAAGATGTAAAAAAGCTGTCCTAGTGATGCTGCCTATGTGTTGATCAAATGATAAATCTGGATCAATTATGATGCCAAGGTTTTTTGCTGCTGAACCAGGTATAACTGGAAAGTCAGCAAGATTTAAAATTAAATCTGGTAATTTATTTCTTGCCTACTTTTACATTTTTGCCTTCCGGAGCACAAATGCTTACTACTTCTCTTTCTAACCACTTCCCCAAATGTTCAAAAGGACATATGTATCAATAGGGCATGGAAACCTTGTTCATAACACCCATTTCCCTTGCACAAAGCACATACACCCCCGTGTTTCCTATTTCTTGTTCTGGTGACAGATTTACAGTATACTTTTGCCTACAGGAATTTGGTTTTAGTTTTTGAGTTTGCTGTGTTTTTTTTTTTCTTCATCTTTGTATATCTCAGCTGTCTGATTTTAATTTTGTGCTGTTGTCTTCCTTCTGGAAAACACACCTGTAGTGAGTAGATGCATGCTATAGCCTTTATAGATAAGGGTTAGATGTGTTTATGTGAGTCCAACTTTCTGGTTGATTGATAATGTTTTGTATGTGGAGAGTGATGACTGCATGGCGGTCAGGAATAGACTATAGACTGATTTAATGATATTGCAAGACATTATCTACTACATTATCTACAGTAACTACTAAGCTGGCCTAGTCACGTTTTTATGGGCCCAATAATTTATTTCTGCCTATGCTATTGGTATAGGAAAGCTTAGAAATGAGGATCTCTCTCTTTCTTTCTCTCTCCCCCTCTCACCCACACATACACACATTTGGCTGGCAATTTGGGTTAAATACTGGGGGAGGGGGCAAATATGAATTTTGAATTTACGACCTAATCTGATGATATTTAATTTGGGAGAAGGACACTGAAGTAAGAGTAGGGATCATAGGTGAATCCATGTAAAGTTTCATTTATTTTGTTTTCATCATCATACACTTTTGTGATGAAATAGATAATATTGCACTGCTGTGGTCTTATAATATTATCAGCAGATCACACACTGAGAAAATGGAATATGATCTGCTCATAATATTAATTTATATCATTATTAGGTGAAAATATTTAAAATTTAAAACATTACCTCTTGTTCATGTCATTGTGTGCAGGGTGGCAATGAAGCACAGTATTTACATAACAGACAAGGACCTTCATGCATCATGCAGCAAAATACAGTGAAATAAGCCATAAGAATAAATAAAAATTAATCAAAAACCAAACAAAACTTTTAAAAATGCAAATTTTCTCATCAATAACATCCCATTTTACAAACAGATTCCCCAGTTGGTCCACCGAACTTGAAATTAGTACCCAATCACAAGCGAGAATGCTGTCGAGAGTAAACAAATGTACCGTGCTCTTTTAAATTAAATTTTTTATCGAGCAGAGTGTCTGATTTGAATATATTAGTTTGGATAAAGAATATCTGTAGATGTTTGTTACTGCTCTGCTCAGCAGTGCAAATGCTGTATATGTGAATCACCTGCCCATGCAAGCTGTAACATTCACAGCGCAACTCTTGCGCCCGCAGTGTTAAACAGAACAGCTGAAAATTTACTGAGCCCACCAGAAACTTAAACTGACCCAAATGTGCAAATGGGCAAAAGCCATAAAACCAAGAAAGCACTCAACTAAAGGTGCTCAACTGAAAAATGGAAATAAGTAAATGATTAAACATACTGTTGCTCCTAACATGTTTTACAAGTTAATGTTTAATCATATAAGGGTACATCTAGTTTGGGGATACAGAGATATGTTTGCTCTTCATTTTGAGCTGGTGTCAGGTTTTTTTGTGACAATGTATCATAGTTTGATAAATACAGATCATACCTCATCTGTATCTTTGCATAATTTGTTTTCATCAAGACCCCCACTGGACCACCCCAGAGCAGGTATTATTTGGGAGGTGGATCATTCTCAGCGCTGCAGTGACACTGACGTGGTGGTGGTGTGTTAGTGTGTGCTGTGCTTGTACGAGTGTATCAGACACAGCAGTGCAGGAGAATAGTTCACCAACCAAAAATATCTAGCCAACAGCGTCCTGTGGCCAGCAACCTGTGAGCACTGATGAAGGACTAGAGGATGACCAACACAAACAATGCAGCAAAAGATGAGCTGTTGTCTCTGATTTTAAATCTACAAAGTGAACCAATAAGGTAGGAGTGTCTAATAGAGTGGACAGTGAGTGGACACAGTGTTTAAAAATTCCAGCAGTACTGCTGTGTCTGATCCACTCATACCAGCGCAACACACACTAACACACCACCACCACATCAGTGTTACTGCAGTGCTGAGAATGATCCACCACCCACATTATACCTGCTTGGTGGTGGTCCTGTGGGGGTCCTGACCATGGAAGAACAGTGTAGAAGAGAGATAATAAAGTATGCAGAGAAACAGATGGACTACAGTCTGTAACTGTAGAACAGTATAGTTCTAGAACTGTAGAACTGTATAGTGCTCCTATATAGTAAGTGGAGCTGATGAAGTGGACAATGACTTTTTATTTTATTAATTATTTTTAATTTTTTATTAGTTACACCTTGCTTCTTTACCAGCTCATTCCATAGCCGTTGGCATTCCATACTGACATATTATTATTTGTATTCTGTTACCTTGTAAATAAAGAATAAAGAATAAAAAACGCAAACAAACATACAATACATACAAACTACATTGAACAAATCCATGCAATAACTGGAGTGCAGGAACCAAACCTGTGTTCTTCTAAATGTATTCTTCTAAACAAAATATTCATAACTTTACTGAAAATAACACATGCTTATTTGTACTGTGTTTATGTTTATTTACATTTATTCAAAGGTAATATAGTTTTGTTGTTGACAAAACCACACCTAATGCTCTGATAAATCGTGTTAAACAGTTTTCAGTGCTTTATGTATCCCCCCTCTATGCATTCCTCCTGTTTTGAAGTATGACCTTTGGTGACACCCATGACCCCATCCATAACATTTCACAAGTTCCCTTATCCCAAAATACAAAAAAATGAACCTACAGTCCAATGCTGAAGTTTGAACACCCAGTCAAATTCCATGTTTTGTTGATTTTATGAGTGAAAATAAGTGAACACGTCCTCTACAGCAAACACACTTCTGCACATTTTAATTCTGTTACTGTACTAAAGTTATAGTTCATTTACATTTAGTGTTTCCCAATTCATTAAACCCAGCACATGAATTAAAATTGTGCTCTGAAATTAGCAGAACAATGTCTGCTATGTTAGTAGAACAATGTCATATTTGAGTTTGTTCTCTTTTGTTCTCTTTTGTTTTTCTCTTTTGTTTTCATCTCACAAAAATCAACAAAGCGTGTAATTTGACCAGCTGTATTTCTGCTTTTTCATCTCCTTTAATACCTGATTCCGTAGTACTGCTGGTGCATTTATTTTAATATGTAAAGAACATGATCTAACAAAGATCACAATACCTGAGGGGGTTTAAATACTTGGGACAATCTATGGCAGATATAAACATCAGATGAACAAATAGCCCTTGAATATATACAAATGACTAAAAAATTAAATAAATAAAAAAATATAATAAATAAATAGATATATCATCTGCTTTCAGATCTACAGAGAAACACATTTGCACAATTTAGTGCAAAATTACTTTTTATTTGCTGAATTGAACATATTGGAAAAAAAATAAAACATAAAATGTGGGCTGTGCAAACGTTATAGCACATTGGTGCTTTATTTTTTGCAATACATTAAACTAACTTTAAAAGTAGAATGAGCACTAAAATCAGCAGAAAAAATGTCATATTTAGGTGTGTTCTCTGTAGAAGATGCATTAATTATTTTCACTTGAATCAAAATCAAAAACATGCCATTTGACCAAACTTGCACATGATAGTTATTAGACAGTTAATGGGAATATAAGCTGAAAATGTAATGACAAGTAAAACTCGAAGACTTAATGAAGAATTGAGTACTATATTAATTTTCTGTTTCCCTGTTTGTGTTACCGTTCTAGCTAATGTATCATGATATTCAGGTCTGCTAAGCACTAGCAGCGCCACATTTTAAAAATGCAATCAAAAAACAATGAATACAGTTTCTACAGTTACAATTTCTTTATTATTCAACATTTCCTGTACTGCATATATCTCTCAGCATCATTAGGATTCAAACCTCCAACTTACAGTGAAAGCCAGTAAATCTTTAAAAGCTCTTTTTTTAAATATGCAGCGGGTCACACTGTAAAAAGATTTGTTGTTGTAAGTTAAAAATGTCAATCTGGTTTTATTAAATTGTAGAGTTGTTTAAGACTCTTATAGTAAGTTTACAGAACAACTGTCTTTGTCTTACATTCTGTTAATTTATTCTTAGAAATTTTTTTATTTTGATAGAATGAGTATTTTAAGAAAGCCAGGTTACGCATCAAGTACTCAGAAAAGCAAATTATGACTAAATTAATCTCATCATAGTGTCCTGCCCTTATTCTGGCCTACACTGTGTTTTTTCAAATTAAGCAGAGCGTTAATTCAGGCAGGCCATGAAGTCAAGCTCAGGCAAAATCACTTGCTAGGTATAAAATTAGCTGAATTCGTCAGCGCGCTTGTTTAAGCTGCTTTAGCCTGTCCATTCTTTACGCTTTCTCCATTGCCACTTTCAAACCCACCTCCACCCCATCTCCTCCCTGCTGTATCTGACTTGTTCAATGTCATGTTTGTTGTCATTGATGCCAGTTCTGTTCTCCATGGGGGATCTTTCTGCTGCTCTCCCTGCCTTAAGATTTCCATGCACGCACATGGAAGAGCAGGGAGGTTCCAAAACAGAGCCACACTGCCAAATATAATTTAAAGATATTTCTTTGAAAAGTGGTCCTGACTGAACTGTAATAATTTTCTGTGTCCTGCAGGTTCAGGATGGCTCAGGTTTGCCGGACCGTGCTGACTCTGGATGCTCCAAATGCTCGGAACCTTAAGGAAGGAATAAACTTCACCAAGAGTTCGGATGGAAAATGCTTCATCATCTATAAACATCAGGACACTATCAAAGCTTGCAGAAACCAGTGCAAGCACCAGGGGGGCCGCTTCATTAAAGACATTGAGGACATGGATGGCAGGTGTGTGTGTGTGGGTGTGTGTGGGTGTTAATAGTGCAGTTCTACTCTTACTGCCCAGCTGTCATTATTTAGATGACAAAAAGAATTAGAACATGGTCTGATTGATAAGCATCCATTTTGAAGTACAGCTACACCACTGGACACAGTACACACTTGCACCTCCATTGTTACGCTACACCCATTTCCATGAATTACACTACATCCAGAAAGACTTTCTGTGGCTACATGACATGTCAGTGGTAACTGGTTTTGGTGAAATAGGATGAGCTATAAGATGTGAGAAGTCACAAACCTTTACTGACTGAATGCTCTTGCAGTGAAGATGAAAAAGCAAGTAAATTTGAAATGAGTTTGAAACATTCAAAACTGTCAAGAAGAAAAAGAAAAACTTTGTAGTTTTACTTTTAAAACTATGCTTTTTGACAGACATTATAGCAGTTTGTTTCTGAGTGCACAGTGGCTTTTGGTTCTTCACAGATCTACTAAGAATAGCTTAATGTGATACATCACAGAGTCACAAGAAATCAAAACTGTGTAAGTGTTTCTGTTTCATCAGATAACACACAGCTAAGTTTACCAGGACATGGAGAGGACAAGATAAGATAAGACAATCCTTTATTAGTCCCACACACGGAAACTCACAGTGCTACCACAGCAAAGGGACAGCAAAGCAAACATATATATTGCTTAAAATAAAAAAAAATTTTATTAAAAAAACTTTTATTTTCACATAATTAACAATATGAGCATTATAAATAGAAAAGCAAAAAAATCTCTACACTAAAAGAATATTTTACACATAATTGCCATGGAATATTTCACATGGAGTACTGCACATGGAGTATGGATTACACTGCACATGGGAATGGTAATGAATTAACAATATAAACATTTGATATTGAAAAGCAAAAAATCTTTATACTATAATGATATTTTACACGTATTGCACATATGTGTAAAATATCCATGTTGGGCAATACTCCATGTTAAATTTGTGTAAAATATCCTGTGAATGTGTGAGGTGAGCAGGAAGGAAGGACCTGCAATAACCCTCCTTCACACACTTCAGATGAAGCAGCCTGTCACTGTCTGTGCTGCCAGAGTCTCATGCATGGGGTGGGAGCCATTTTTCTTCTTCTGGGAGCTCTTAGCTTTGCTAACAACATCCTGTCTCCCACCACTTGCACTGGGTTTAGGGCTCCCAGGACAGAGGCCAATGATCACTGAATCATCAGAGAAATTCTGTAGATGATAGCTGCAGTGCAGAGGGTGAAGAGAAACAGTGCCAGAACTGTTCCCTGTGCCACACAGTCCTGTGCCCTCGTGTGGTGGTTAGTCAGGCAGTCCAGAATCTAGTTTAATAGGTGGTGATCCACCCCTATGTTCTTCAGCCCAGACAGGTGTGGCCCTGGAGAAGTCAAAGAAAATGATTCTCACAGTGCTCCCAGGCTTCTCCAGGTAAGGAAGAGCTCTATGGAGGAGGTGAGGGACTTCGGGTGCTGGTACGACACAAGATGTTTTCCACAGTTGTGATACTCTCCCCAGCTTCAGGCTCCACAACAGTTCCACACAGCCGATCCACACACTATTCATAGTTACTGTGCATCTTTTTACTCTGCGCAATTATCATATTACATATGCTGCTCTGACAGTATATACTACCTACATTTGCATTCTCTCCACTCACTCTGTAAATATGCATATTATATTTATACTTGCAACATCTATATTTTTTTACCACTCCTTTTTTTTAACCGTCCTTAATTGTACATACTATAACTGTCAGTTGTTGTTACTTTTTTGCACTTTATATGTAAATAATGTATTCTGCACTTCTGGTTAGATGCTGACTGCATTTCATTGTACTTGTTGTTGAATATAATCTAATCCAATCTTTAGTCTCCTCAGACCATGCAGTGCAGGTGACAGTTGGTTCCCTGTGTACCCTGTGTGATAGATAAGATAAGATAATCCTTTATTAGTCTCACAATGGGGAGGTTTACAGTGCTATAGCAGCAAAGGGATAGCAAGGCACTCAAGGAAATAAGTAACATGAAGAGAATTAATAAGCAAGTAATTAACAAGGTTACAGTTTGTTACTTGTTACCATGTTGTTACATTTACACTGTAAGGATGTTTTATCCAAATTGCACATGGATATATGAAGTACACACGAAGATGAGTAGTGATCTGATCTTCCGAGGGAAGGGAGGGGTCATATGCCTTTATAGTTATATAAATATATAGTTATATGCCTCCTTAGTGCTGGCATAAAACAGGTCCAGTATTTTATTGTCTCTGGTGTGGCGGTTACATGCTAGGTGAAGTTCGTCAGAGTGGAGGATGGAGAAACATAGTTAAAGACCCAGAGATCAGAACGAGGGCCTGCGAGTGCTGTGTCTGCAGCCTGCTCACAGCCACGTGCAGGGCGTCACAGGCGGCATTAGCGTTAGCCCAGGGGGGAGCGCATGCAGCTATCATGATAATGTGCAAGAATTCCCTTGGTATGTAGAACAGCCTCATTCTAACGGCTAACAGTTCAATGTCCTTACAGTAGATTTGCTCCTTAATAGTGATGTGCTCAGAGTTACACCATCTATCATTTACAAATACTGCCAGCCCTCCTCCTTTCCTCTTACCACGCTTCGCTGTCCTGTCTGCCTGTATGAGCTGGAAGCCATCCAAAGTGACGTTAGCCATGACTCGCTGAAAAAATCTACAGAGAAGAAATTACAGAAAACAATTCAAATCTCAAAAAAAAGCTTAAAAAGCAAGAACAGTAGAATTGCTTAAGTAATACATATTCAGATACATATTCAATGGATGATTCATTGACCTGGCTTTACTGTGTTTAATATTGACATTTTGAGCTGAGCTCACTGATGGACATTTTTTAACAAGAAACACATGAATCACCAAAAATATCAGTTACATCAAGTAGACTATAATCTATATGTATTTTCTTTATAAAAAAGCAAGTGTACACAATAAATTTACATTTTTAAAATCAAAGTTGTTGTACACTTCCATACAATAAAATGGGTCAAGCCCAAAAATAGCAAAACAAGCTATTATAGCTATAAACAAGCTATAAAACAAGCTAGGTAAAAACTATCTATATTAACAATAAAATTTGTCCTATATCGACATGACCTAAAAGGCCACTCAGCAAGGAAGAAGCCATTGCTCCAAAACCGCCATAAAAAAGCCAGGTTACAGTTTGCAGCTGCACATGGGGACAAAGATTTTACTTTTTGGAGAAATGTCCTCTGGTCTGATGAAACAAAAATGGAACTATTTGGCCATAATGACCATCATTTTATATGAAGGAAAGAGGGGGAGGATTGCAAGCCAAAGAACACCATCCTAACCATAAAGCATGGGTGTGGCAGCATCGTGTTGTGGGGGTGCTTTGCGACAGGAGACACTAATGCACAAAATGGACAGTGACCCCAAGCAGTGACCCCCAGCATACTTCCAAAGTTGTGGCAAAATGGCTTAAAGACAACAAAGTGAAGGTAATGGAGTGGCCATCACAAAGCCCTGACCTCAATCCCATAGAAAATTAATGGGCGGAACTGAAAAGGGCATGCAAGTGAGGAGGTATACAAACCTGACTCAAATACACCAGGTCTGTCAGGAGAAATGGGCCAAAATCTCAGCAACTTATTGTGAGAAGCTTGTGGAAGGCTACCTGAAACGTTTGACCCTAGTTAAACAGTTTAAAGGCAGTGCTGCCAAATACTGATGAGTATGTAAACTTCTGACCCATTGAATTGAATTGAAAACTGAATTTAAATGAATGTGGCTAAGGTGTATGTAAACTTATGACTTTAACTGTGTGTGTGTATATATATATATATATATATATATATATATATATATGCATATAAAAATTCAATTATACACACACTTAGAGAGAGGGCGTTTGTACAGACTGTAAAAGTTAAACATTAAAAAAAAAAAACTGACTGAGCAAATAACACACACCTTTATAAACTATCTTTACTGAACAAATGGATTAAGCAGTGGAGGTCTTTGATGATAAAAGTAAGTGAACATTGAGTAACTAGCGGAAACTCAGCAGTGGTTTTTGGTCATTTGAGACATATTTGCAGGTGTTTCTGCGCAGGAAATGAAGTATTTCACTTGTCATTCATATTTAAGTCCTCTATCAGGTGTTTTACAAACTGATGTAACTGTGTTGATGTGTGTTGTGTGTGTCTGTGTGTAGGACAGTACGCTGCACTAAACACTACTGGAAGCTTAATGTGGCCACCATGCAGTATGTGAATCCTCCAGACAGCTTCCTGCAGGATGAATTGGGTGAGAAATATGCTTGTTGTGAATTTGTAGTTGTCTATCACAATGATATTGATCGCTTTTATTTATCACTCAAAGAATGGCAAAAGACACACACTGAATTTGACTGAAGCCTCATGCCTAAACAAATGCAGCACCTCTCTAGGCTGTTTCCTACAAAGCTCAAACCCTAAAGCATATGCACATTGCTACCTAGACCACACCATCTGAGTTAACATTAATGTTACCTACTCAGCTACATCAGAAGCAGTTTAGAATGAAATGTGGTTTGTAAGTGAATTCCCTGTCTAGCAGTGTTAATGTCACTCTTGAGCACTCTTAGCTCTCTTCAGCAGTAGAAAAACACACCAGTGTTTGTCTGTGTGTGAGCATGTGTGTGTGTTTGCATGTAGAGGTGGTGCAGTCTGTAGATGGAGGTCTGAAGCTGCTGGAGTTGGACCCTCCAGACCCCTGGGCCACTGATCCCAGACCAGCAGAGGAACTGCAACCTGGAGAGATTACGGTAGTGCACACAGTTTATATATATCTGTGAAGATCATGTAAGAAAAAAAAAGTAAATTAAGCACAAATAAAAAAACAAATAAATCAACATTAAAAACAATAAAAACATGATTAAAACAATAATTGTAAAAGAGAAAATTATTAAATTAAAAATCAAATTAGAAATTAAATTCGGATACTTAAAATTAATAAAAACTAAAAGTTAGATTAGGATTGGAGAAAAGTGCGTTTACAGAGGAAAAAGAGGCTAGAAATGCTAACAGTGTTTAAACTGAGCTTGAAAGCCTGCTCAAACAGGAACGGTTTGAGCCTGGATTTAAAGGTGTCCAGTTTTGCGGCTCTTCTGATGCTCTCTGTCAACGGGTTCCATATAAGAGCAGCATAGTAGCTAAACGCTGCTTCTCTAGCAGTTTGTATTTATACAGCACATTAAACTGAGGCAACAGAGATCTTCATAACAAAGCATAGTGTAATACAAGGAAAAATAAACAAATAAAAAATATATATCTAAAAACACGAAACGACAAAAGCTTGTTGAGCTGCACTAATCTGCACAAACTAGAAAATGACTTCAAGAAAATACCTAAACAGTTGAAAGTGCATATTTCCACCATCAGGGTAATAAATAAGAAACTTAAAACAACTGGAGATGTTAAGAATCTGCTGGGGAGAGGATGAATGTCTATACTGATCCCATGCATAGTGAAGAGAATGGTTTGAGTAGACAAGGAATCTCCAAAGATCACAGTTGGGGAACTGCAGATATTAGTTATATCTTGGGGTCACAACGACTCCCAAACTACAATTAAACACCACCTTTATAACCACAGTCATTTGGAGAGATTGCCAGAAGAAACCTTCTGCTGTCAAGGACCAACAAACTCAAGCACCTACAGTTTGCCAAATGTTACCGAAACTTTCAGTGGCACCGTGTTCTATGGTCAGAGGAGAGCAAAATAGAGGTTTTTGACAACAAACACCAGAGGTAAGATAGGCATGAAGAAAAGGACCTCATCCCCACTGTGAAGTATGGTGGTGGATCTGTGATGCTGTGGGACTATTTTTCGTTCTAAGGCCCGGGACAATTTAATCGTATACATGGTATCACAGAATCCATCAAACTCCAGCAGAAATAAATCAAAACCTGACTGCCACAGCCAGGAAACTTAAACTGGGCCACAGATTGAATCTCCCAGCACAAAAATGGTCCAAAGCGCACTTCAAAATCAACACAAAAATGGTTCATGACCACAGAATTAAGGTTTTGCAATGGCCAACCCGTCCCCTGACCTAAACCTCATAGAAAACCTGTGGGATGAGCTGAAGAGTTGAGTCCCCAATGTGGACCTTGGAATCTGAAGGTTCTGAAAAATGGTTCTTTATGGAGGAATGGTCTCAGATCCTTCGCCATGGATTCTACGTTCTCATTAAGCATTAGGTTATCTTTGCAAAAGTACAATAATTGTATAATAATTGCCAATAATTGTGGCACACGCAGATTTGAGGAAAAAATATTTCCTGAAAAGATTGACAAAATGATAAGCAATAAAAAAATGTTTTGTACAGCATGTTTTGCTCATGTTTACCAGGGGTGCCAATATTTGTGGAGAGCATTGTAGGTGTATCTAATAATGTCAGCTGGCGGAAATACAAGGTAGGTATTTCTAATAAAGTGGCCAGTAAGTGGTAGTACCGGTAGGTGTTTCTAATAAAGTGGTCAGTTGGTGGAAGTACATGGTAGAAGTTCTAACAAAGTGGCCAGTAAAGGAAATACAAGATAGCAGTTTCTAATAAATTCACTCAGCATATCTCTGGTGTGTGTTTGTGTCTTGCATAGCTGACCTACATAACTCATGCATGTATGAAGCTGAAGGCAGGAAGTAAAAGCATGATGTTTGACCCCTGGCTGACTGGACCAGCATTTGCCCGGGGCTGGTGGCTACTGCATGAGCCTCCAAAAGGTGCCATGGAGCAATTGTGTCAAGCTGACCTCATCTATATCAGCCACATGCACTCAGACCACCTCAGGTCAGCTTATCCTCTAAAACAACAGCAGCACTAGTGTCACAGCAGTAGCACGCTAACAGGGTCAATCACCAGTTAATATTGTTTATGTTAAAGTTATTAGTTTGATAAAACTCTAAATCCTGCAGTGTTCTCACATTGCTTTTGCAAAACTGCCAGTTCCATGCCTCGTGGTAGCATAGGTAACGGTACAGGATGCAGCTGTTTAAACGTTGCCTTGTAAAAAGAAAAGCATGCTGCTCAGATGGGGAAGTGTTGCTAAAGCCGTGGCACTCGGATGCATAGTCAACCCGCACACAATAGACATTCAGCTACAGCTTTACCAGCCACACTTCAGATGCCTTAGCCTCAGATGTGATTCTTCCTGTCACTGTGCTACAGCGACTGTTGTTGAAAGAGACAGATGAGGAGCAGGGATCCATACTATGAAACACAGTTTACTTACAGCTGTACAGAAGCAATTTTCTACTGAAACGCTTCTTGATCCAAGGTAATTCATATAACATAGACAGCTAATGCACATGCTTTAAAATCAGCCAGATTTTAATGGTTTCACTATTAAGTTACATTGCACTCATTTACACTAATAATTACTTATATGTAGTGTGGCATCACTAGAGGCCAAAAAACATGCACTCGTACTTGGCCCGAAAAAAAAAATGGTGTTGATGCATCCCTATCAATAACAGAATTAAATCACCATTGAATGCAGAATTCATGTTAAAACGCAAGTTGAAATGGAATAAAGTCATCCATGTGGTTTGTTTTCATGACTTTCTAATGACTTTGTCACTAATTCCTTGCCATGGAAGCTTCTATTATCCATGTCCATTACTATAACCTGTTTTTTGGAGTTTTTTGTATTTTATTTTATCGCTTTTAAAATAAAAAATTTTTTTAGTTTTATTATATTTAATATTGTATTTAAAAGAAGGAAATGTTCTTATTTTTTCACTGGAATATCTCATGTTTGTGCAGTTTTCCAACTCTGCAGCTCCTTTCAGAGAAGCGACCTGACATTCCTATATATGTGGGAGACACCTCGCGGCCTGTATTCTGGTATACTATAGCTTAAAAGAATAATATACCTTAAATACTCCAGCGTTTTACACTATAATCCCTGCTGTATTTGTATCAGACATCTCTGACAACAAGGACAGACAACAGAACAAAAAACCCACTCTAAAACTCACTTACAGTAGTAGCGATGGGCTGTTGCTGAATTCTGTCAGTAAACGTTTATGCAAAATTTCTTGTAGAGCCATTTAAAGTTGTTTGTAAATGAAGCTGTAAATCTGTATATCTTGTCCTTTCAGAGTTTCACAGAATTCAGCATCTATCCATTGACTTCTGTTATAAATGAGTTTCGAGTCAGTTGGTTCACCGTTGTTTTCTAAGCCCAGGGAAGCACACAGTACAGATGCAGCAGATATTAGGTTAAAACCAATGGCGTATTCCTTTAATAATGAGTTCCTCAGATGTGTTGATGAAGTTGGAGGTTATAGGTGAAGGTGCTCAGGTGTGTTTGTGTATATGTGCACTGCAGGTATCTGAACAGAAGTGGAGTAAATCTCACCAACATTAATGTCGTCCCTTTTGGTGTCTGGCAGAACGTAAGAGTCCTTTTCTTCTTTATCTGCTCTCCAGTTTGGATCTGCTATGACCAGTAAAACTACACATAAGTCCAGATTTATTGCAGTGTATGTGTAGGGGTGTGGAATTAGTTCATAAAGAAAGGAGAAGGGCGGAAGAAAAGAATTGTGGTCCAGACCAAAGCAGAAAATTACACATTGTGACATTCGATACATTGTTTAGTGCTGAATCACTTAAAGCACTTTTTTTCCACTGCACAAAGTGCCAGAATCTTCAGCTCCAGAACTGTGCTTTTTCCATTCATCAGTCCAGTACTGAAGGTCCCAGTTTGACTTAATGGTACTTACATATTTGTGCAATTTTAGTGAATTCTTTACTAAGTCACTAAGCACTTTTGCAATACCAAAAAGCGCCCCAGAATTTAAAGATGAACAAGTATGTTGATGTGTTTACTAACATATTTTTATATCTTTTTATTTGCTACAGGATGCAATGTCATAAGCAATAAATGTAGCACTGGTCTTATAACACCCCTATATCATTAAACACATGCATGAATTTTAGGAGAATCACCATTAAGTCTAAAAATAAGCCTTCTCCTTTTGTCTCCTGTTTAAGGTTGATGAACACTTGCGGTTTATGATCCTGATGGATGGAGTTCACCCAGAGATGGACACCTGCTTAATAGTAGAATATAAAGGTAAGCTCAGTAGCCCAGGCCTATATGTCATGTTTGTGGATACCAGTGTTTCCTCTGAATCAAGGGGGCTAGTCGTGAGTTTAACCCCTTTTCTGCAGTAACAGCTTTTACTTTTCTAGGAAGGCTTTACACTAGATGTTAGAACATTACTGTGAGGGTGCGACTGCATTCAGCCACTACAGCATTAGTGAGGTCAGGTACTGATATTGGATAATTAGTTCTGGATTACAATCACCACTCCAACATATGCCAAAGGTACTGGATGGAGCTCAATCACCCCAGAGAACATTCATTAGAAGGGCTGTCTGATACTTTTGGGTGTAAAATTATAATGTTATAATTGTTATTTCTTCTTGTCAAATCTAAATCAAATATTCTTGATATTTTTTTAAATATATATGTAAATATTCTTGATATTTTTAAAGCAAAATGTATAATTAAAAAATGGTAGTTCAGTCAAATTTACTCAATATTAAGCAATGAAGCACTTAAAGTGCAAATGGATTTATTTGTTTCATTTTTGTAGGATAGTATATAAATGTATTACAGTAACTGAGTTTATTATAAGGAATGGACCTTCAGCTTTAAAGTGAAGAAGTACAGTCTGCAGTTCAAGGGTCCTGGTTCTGCAATGCTGAAAAATGTTGAATATTTGTTCTGTATTTCACAGTCTGCTTGTGAGGTAATGATTTTGTATTTCACAATATCAAATGTTACAATGATGACATGATGCAATACACTATAAAACAATGTAAACATGACATATAATGTATCAAAATTTTAACCTAAAAAGTCAGTAAACATATAGTCTGACTGCCTTAAAATGTCAGCTTTACTGAACTGAGATTTCATTGAATAATAAAATGAAAAACGTATCACGCAAATTACTCTTCTTACTGTTAGAGCTTCTATCAGTTAACAATTTTAAGGCAGCCAAGTTACTTTAAAAAGTTACAACAACAAATCTTTTTTACAGTATTTAGGGTCACATGCAGCATAGACATTCTAATTTCACATTTATAAATTCACAACAAACTCCACCAAAATTCGGTTTGAGGCTAAATAAATGTTAATAAAGGGTTATTTAGCTCTGCTTGAATGAAAACAACAAAATAATCACTTTCATCTTTCATCTTTTGACCACAAAAACGAAGGGGTGTCTTTGCAAAGTGCTTTAAAAACCAAGTTTTATGTGTTGATGAACTCATAGATTCACAATGTATGCTTGTTTTGTTACACCCGTTTGTCCAGTTTAAAGCTACACTATGTCAGTTTTGGAGATTTGGGAATTTAGAGACTTCCCTGGGGGAAATGTGGAATTGTACACAATGTGTGGAAGAATGTTTCGTTATGTTAGCTGTGCTTCTGACTGCCACAAGCAGATGAATCAGATGATTGTGAACATGATGAAAGAGTTTTCAAAGAGAACTCAGTCAAAACTTTTTATGGTTAATGGCGTGTCTTCCGAGGATGTAAATGAATTATCTACTATTGTGATCCTATCTTTATTAATATATAACTTTGATTTTGCATGTGAGACCTAAACATTGAGCCAGACCTTCTTTTTCAGTCTGTGCATGTAACGTTAGTAGTGTTGGATGGAGTGGTGTAAAGCACGCCGGCACTGGACGGAAGCAGTGGAAACGTATTCTGTGGAGTGATGAATCACGCTTCTCTATCTGGCATTCTGATGGATGAGTCTGAGTTTGGTGAATGCCAGGAGATTGTTACCTGCCTACTATTAGTTCCAGTGAAGGGAATCTTAGTGCTTCAGCATACCATACATTTTGGACAATTGTAAGCTTCCATCTTTGTTTGAACAGTTTGGGGAAGACTGTTTTCTGTTCCAGCATGACTGAGACCCAAAGCAAGGTCCATAAAGGAATGGTGGGGTGAGTTTGGTGTGGTAGAACTTAACTGGCCTTCACAGAGCCCTGATCTCAACCCCATCAAACACCTTTGGGATAAACTATGCGGAGCTTGTGAGCCGTCCAAGAACCTCACAAATGCTCCTCTGAATGAATAGGCAAAAATTTCCACAGATGTACTCCAAAAATCTTGTAGAAAGCTTCTCAGAAGAGTGGAAGCTGTTATAGCTGCAAAGGGGACCAACTCCAAATTGTAACATTTGAGACAAGGAGACGAGGTACAGGTGTGAGCAATGTTTTCTGGAGTCTTTATTAGAATAATATGGACGTCAGGTATGAGGATCCATGGAATGAACAGGAACACAAGCGATACAGATAACACATGAATAAAATATGACCTGAGACTAAGACTCTGAATACAAAGAAAAACACAAGAAGATAAACCAAAAACCCTCAGCCAAAAATGAAACTGAAAGATAAGGCATAAACAACAACTAAATACAGAAAACAAGGAACTGAGAAAATAAGAGTTGGAACAGGACACATGACCCAAGAGCAGTGGATCGTGCTTCACACAAATACAGAAAAATAAAAACATTAAATAATATTAAATAATAAAGTGTATGACAATTTGAGCTCCAGCACCTCAGAAAGGCATTTGCAAAGATAGTGCTAAAAATAGCAATAGAAAAAAAAGACAGTAGAAAATAAAGGATTAAAAGAAATTAAAACAGTGCTAAGATAATGTGCAGTGCTAAACAAAGGCACAAGAAAACAACAATGTCTTTAAAGTGGACTTAAAGATGGCTACATTTGGACCATATCTGATCTCATCTGGGAATTTGTTCCAGCAGTTGGCAGCATAATAACTGAATGCTGCCTCACCTTGTTTGGTTCTGATTCTGTGCACCACTAACTGACCAGTCCCTAGTGATTAGCAAGGCCTACTGGGTTCATTTACTTCAAATCAGCAACGTATTTGGATCCAAGATGGTAAAAGGCTGCTTTCTTTATTGCTTTTACATGGCTGAAATTCCGACCTGAATCAATATATTTTATTATTTTTAAGGACTTGGCCCAGTGATAGCATATAAAAATGAAACAGTAAGGGCCCAGGAATGGATCCTGGTCAACATTCTCTGTTTAGATTTTTGGTTATTGATGGCAATAAAGTAGCTCCTATTGTCTAAATACAACCCCATTTCTAGAAAAGTTGGGACGCTGTGCAGAATGTAAATAAAAATAGAATGCAATGACATGCAAACCAAGTAAACCATATTTTTATAATGCTACAAAGACAACATATCAAATGTTGAAATTGAGGAATCTTACTGTTTTTTGAAAAATATATGATTATTTTGAATTTGATGCCAACAATGCATTCCAAAAACCTTGGGACGGGGGCATGTTTACCACTGTGTATCATCACAGCGGTAAAGTAAAATGTTTTCTCATTCTTGTTTGAATGATTTCAGCTGCTCAACAGTTCAGGGTGTGCTTTGTCATTACATAATGCGCCAAATGTTATCAGTGATGACAGGTCTGGACTGCAGACAGGCCAGTTTAGCACCCTGACCCTTTTTACTATGGAGCCATGCTGTTGTAATACATGCAGAATGGTCTTGTTTCGCTGAAATAATCAAGGCCTTGCCTGAAAACTGTTTTCACAGACAGTGGTTTTCAGAAGTGTTTCTGAGCCCATGCAGTGATTTCCACTACAGAATCATGTCTGTTTTTAATGCAGTGCCACCTGAGGGCCCAAAGATCTTAGCCAGAAAATATTGGTTTTTGGCCTCGCCCCTTGCATACAGAGATTTCTCCAGATTCTCTGAATCTTTTAATGACATTATGTACTGTAATGATAATTATGTACTGTAGATGATAAAAAACAGATGTTATTTGCTACTTTATGTTAAGAAACATCATTCTTGAATTGTCGTGCAGTCTTTCACAGAGTGGTGAACTCCTCCTCATCTTTACTTCTGAAAGACTCCGCCTCTCTGGGATGCTTTTTTATACCCGATCATGTTACTGACATATTGTCAATCAACCACCAGCTGTTTTTTTAGCATTACACAACTTTACCAGCCTTTTGTTGCCCCGTTCCAACTTTTTGGGAGCGTGTTGTTGGCATCAAATTCAAAATGGGCATATATTTTTAAAAAACAGTTAAAGGTCTCAGTTTCAACATTTGATATGTTGTCTTTGTACTATTTTCAATTAAATATAGGGTTTAAATGATTTGCATATTGTTGCATGGCCAGGGTGGTTGAGCTAGGGAGCAGTTTTCAGGAAGTGGAAGTGCAAAGTTTACTAAAGTGAAACCTGTGGGCTCTGTGCTATTGACTGGGAAAGCATCTTACTTCCTGTGTACACCAGTTCTTCTATTTTCTCTGAAAATCCTAGCAGCTGTGACATCAGAGTTGAAACAAAGAGTGAGGATGGTGAGGGTAGCTCTGGTGTCCATATAGGCTGGAGAACATCATCGTTGCTCCTTATCGTGGGACTGACATTTATGTCTTGGAGAGTGATAGTGTTTGCAGTATGAGGGCTAACTCTTTATTATCAGCCCACTGAGTTAAAGTGCAGAGTTGATCATGTCCTGAGGCGCATAGTGTCTTGGTTGTGATGAATCACTGTGAGACTGCCGTGGGTCTTCATGTGACATGACAAGAGATTAGGCTGCTCACGATCAGGCTGATGTATGTTAAGTCGGTCCTCAGGTGCCATCTCGTTGTTCTATGTTGGCACATTGGGAGTCATCATTGGGAGTGAAAGGGTGGTGATCTGTTAGCACTCGCACGCCAGCCCTGTTTAGGGTGGGGCCATTTAGATTGAATAGCTCTCTCTGTCCCCAAAAGAGATATAGAAAATTCTCCACATAATTAAGCTCTTGTAGGATGCAGACCACATTGACCCAAGTGCTGAGAAATAAAAGACAGGAGAACATGCTGGTGCCTTAAGCTGGAAGTGGTCTACTGCCGAATGTTTCTAAGTTTAATCTTTCAGGTGTGTTAAAAAGTTCAGTAAAGTCATTTTTTAAGAGCACAGGTTGCTCCCTTTGAATATTGTGCTTTCCAACATGCGCGATAATACGACTAAATGTCTAACAGCTGACTACAATATCAGGAAGCTTTCTGTCAGTAAGCAATGTGTTACCAAAGCCTTGCTATTTTTGAATTTACTTGCTACTAATTAAAGGAGAAGAGTAGTAGGTCCGTAGTACTCGAGTCCATACTGAAGACTTTTGTTTATTGTCTTGGACTCAGTAACATTTGTGCTCGGACTTGTCTCAGTCTTGGTCATCTGGCCAAATTTATTTCCTGGTCTACCATTTAAAAATTGTTTTCTTTCTTTTAACTGCCACTAATGCACATTTACTTGCACTCAAGCAGCTCAGGGGTTAAACTGGGCTGGAGCAAACCAGAGCAGAGTTTCAGCAGCTTTAGTTCAGAGCTGAGCTCCAGCGCAGTCATTTGATGAAAATGTAAATCATTTAGTAATTTTGTCAAAATCTATTTGTCTATTAGATGAGAAATAATCTTGAAACAGTTACACAAAAACAAGCTTGACGCTGTAATAGAAGAACCCTTCTGGTGCTATATAGAACCATTTTAAAAACGGTTCTATACAGAACCATAAACAACACATTCTGCACCAGTCCAAAGAACTTTTCACCATGCAAAGAACCATTTAAGCATGAAATGATTTGGTGGTGAACTCATGGTTCTAAACGGAATCATTCCCTTTACTAAAAGGGACTACCTTGAAGAACCATCTTTTTGAGAGTGTATGATTTGAATTTGATTGAGTTATTTTGTACATATAATTTTGATTTGCAAAATAAAAATCCTAATAAAATAAAAATAAAGATCAATTAAGGTCTGGTGTTGATAAGGGCTTGATTTTTTGGGTTTTGGTCTTGACCTAGTCTCGTTCCTAGGTGGTCTCAGCCCCCTTTAGACAGACTTTAGTCAGACTTGACTCGATCTCGACTAGTCATGGTCTTGGACTCGTCTTGGAGGCGAGAATTTTATAAGATTACAGTGGTCTTGATTACAGCCCTAAAGAGTAGATTTCAAAGCAGAAATAGGCACTTTTGTATAAACATTAAGGGGTAAATAAAGACTTGGGTCATTTGGTCTTACATACAGCTTTCCACAATGTTTCCACCAATGTTGCATTGTAAAACAACTTCGGGGTCAAAGAAGAGGTCAAAACTTCTTTCATGCCTCAGTACTAGGTTTCAGTTCCACATAAGAAATGGAAGAAAAAGGAGTGGTTAAAATAACATCTTGTGCACCATGACTATTTATACAGATATGATTTAAAAAAAAAATAACACAAACATACAGAGGTTTTCCACATGAAGTTTGTTATGATATAAAGCCACTACCCTGCCTTGGCCGGAGCTTTCAGGAGGCAAAAGCAGCATATGTCGGATCATGTGCTGTTTTTAATGGACTGGAAACTGTGGCTACCTGGCCCAATTGGCACAAATGCCAGGTGGATACCGGAGTGCACCCAAAGTCTCACTCACTTTCAGTCACTTCCACTTCGCCATCACCCACTGAACCCCTAGAAACACTACCAGGGCAAACAGTTCTGATAGAACGTATCATAGTACATACCATATAATGCCAAACAGATCAACACTTACTCTGACTTATTAGCACATTTGCACTATGGCAGCACTTATTCTACAAAATCCATCATGTTTTTTACCTACCTTCAACTTTTCCACCTCATCCAAGCATAAAACCTCTGTTTGCAATATTTAGCCTTTCCTATCCAAGTTTTTGCACATTTTCAAAATTCACAAAAAGCAGGTGGATAGAAAACCCCTGTCTACTGCCAAAACTGCAATCCAAAGACAAAGAAATTATTTTTATGTAAGCTTTTTTCTTACCATTGAAACCCATTATATTTTTAGAAAAATACCTAGGAACAGCAAATCTCTCACATTTTATTGTTAACAGACACTGTCTACTGCCAAAAGGATGACCCTGTAATGTTAAAATAATAAAGCATAAAGTTGTGCATTATGCATTTTCCTTAGAAACACCCAGGGAAAGAGCTTAACGTGGCCTTGTAAACACTTTTCACGCTTCCAGATGGCACAGCTAAAGTTGCCATAGTAGGGAAAACATTATAGCAGTGCTTAGGAATCAGAATGTAGAGGACTCACATATTTTGATGTCCTCGTTTAGGTGTTTATTTTCATTTTCAGAGACGAGCAAGTTTGACAAGTTTGAGCATGTTTATAGATAGATAGATAGATAGATAGATAGATAGACTGCCCAGACCACCCGATAGCCAATAAAAACTAAAGTAGATATATGTACTAATGTTACAGAACCTATGTCAAAATATAAAATACACAAAGGTTATTTGCCTGAGAGCACTTATGTTCAGTGCTGTCAATGTCTCTTAAAAGCATTAAAACTGCCCCTGAACATGCCCCCAGGTCACATGATCTTGAACACTGTGGACTGCACGCGGCCGAATAACGGCCGTCTCCCTCGGAATGTGGACGTGATGATGAGTGACTTCGCTGGAGGAGCTTCTGGCTTCCCTATGACCTTCCACAAAGGAAAATACACTGGTGATTATTTTGTGATTCATTGCTCCTATCATGATTCTAACATAGTTTCTATGTTCTACTCTCACCAGTTTTGTCATGAATTTTATTGCTTCTTACCACTATTTTAAATAGAAACCTCTACATTACATGCATTAGCATAAGCTAATTATCTGTGGCTCCTGTTATAACAACTAGTTGGTGTCTTGATATGTTGTGTGGGTTGTGTCTGACTAGTGTACTGACTAGCCTATTGTAAATCTATGCTGATCAAGTGCCCCCTAGTGGCCAGGAAGGGTGCTCAATCTGTAATTCATCCCTGTATGAAGCAGAGCTCAGACCGCAGTGACCCTGCAGACATGAGTTACCAGTTCTGCACTGTTTCCTGATTGGGAGTTACAAAATGCAGACCAGCCCACTCCAGATTCTAACTGTATTTCTCCTGCTACACACACACACACACACACACACACACAACCTTGACTTTTTAACCACTTTTTCTAAAATCAGTGCCTATTTTATTTTCTTCATTTCTTACACGTATTTATTATTTATATGCTACTCTGAGATGACCAAGGTTGCTGACTAGTCATAAAATGAAAACTGACTTTTAAACTGACTCAGTGCTCCTGTGCTTATATATGTGAGTTTTTACATTATCTCATGGTAAATGGCCCAAAACTCTACACCAGGAATGCTCCTGACTTTCCCGATTACCAGCCTACAGCAGGATTCACAGCAGGACTGTAAGAGTCTGTGTCAATAAGAGTCTATGTTTGTCCTGCAGAATGCTGGAAGGCTGTTTATATCAAGGCTGAGAGGAAGAAGCTGCTAAATTATAAAGCCCAGCTGGTGGATTCTCTTCAGCCCAAAGTTTACTGCCCATTCGCTGGCTACTTCATTGAAGCCCACCCAGCAGACAGGTTAATTTACATTTACACTTTACACCTACCTTTTACATTTACTTTTGACCAGCGGTGTCTGGTATGAATGAGCTAATAGGGCTAAGCTCTCTTACTCTATCAATGAAAAAAAGCACCAGAATAAGGCACCAGAATAAGGCACCCACATTGTTCCACTTGCTGTTAACAAATAACTAGAATTCTGTGGATCCAAGAACAACAGCACCAGAGAAAGGTAATACAAAATAAGAACTGGTTCAAATGGGGCTAATTGAGCCCAAACTGTAGATTCACAATATATAAAGCTAATATGTGATTCTTTGTCAAATGTGTTGTGATGTATTACACAGATTGAAACACTCACTAGATTTATTATCTTTATGGGCTGATTTATTTATACCCACTATGCTTTCCTTCACCCTCCTGCAATCTGCAGTCAGTACATGTTGGGGTGGGTAAGTTTGATTCCAAAATCTGATTGCTTAGACATGCTTGACATCACTGTAAAAGGTTCTTTACACCGAAAGTCAGATAGTCAAATTGTGAACATGCCATTATATGGCTTTATTTAATGAAGAAACATTTTAAAATGCTTCATAAAAAGCCTGCATTTATCAAATTTTAACACCACTGCAATAATGCTAGTTTCTTTTAGTGCCCTTATGGAAATCATAGTATTATGCTAGCATCATGCTAATAGTAGTGTAAAAGCAGTTATACTTGGACATTTGGTGCTTATAACATGGACATATGAAAGAGCTTCTAACAGACATTCAGGTTTACTTTGTATATTGCTGTTGTCCTTCACAAAAGATTTGAACATAAATCTTGTGAAATTCTGCTCATGTGGTAGTTAAAAAAGTCCAAATGCTGTAAAATGTAGTGTGACTACTGCGTTAACTTGCAATAGCCATTAAGTAATAGCACTCAGCAACATTTAAACATTTGTTTAGTTAGCTAGATAGCTCATTAAGTCATTGCTGTAGTTGTGAAGCTGCTCTCAAATGTAATGCTACGATGTCTGAGCAGGACATCATTTATGGTATTTAGCTGACACTCTTATTCAGAGTGACTTACATTGCTTTAGGTATTCAGTAAATAGTATTATTATGTCAGTATCTACTATTAATTATGTTGTATCTACTATGAATTTTTCAGGTGCTACTATAAAGCTGTGCAAGTTCTGTAGCTATGAAAGTGAGGAATTAAAGTGTGGACCCACGTTCAGACCCTTACAGTTTAAGAAGTCAAAAATAGAACAGTAAAATAAATTCACACTAATTCTGTACGTACTAATGAGGATGTACTGCCGCATGTAAATACGACCCACAGGTACATTAAAGACATCAACATTAAGAACAGCCCAGCGGACCTGAATGCACTGATAAAGGAACGTTGCCCCAATATAATCACCTGGACACCACTGCCCGGATCCACACTGGACCTTGCCAAAGCTCTAACACATCACAAGTCAGCTTACACATGCACACACACACTACTATTAAGTACAAAATCACTTCTCATGATCAGTTCATAAGTATTCCTATTATTTTCTATAATAACCATATTTGGTAAACTGAAATATTATGAACTGATAATATATAACTGAGAAACAATAAATAATTTGAGATTAAGAATTCAGGTTTGTTTGTTACACACATATACATATATATATATATATATATATATATATATATATATATATATATATATATATATAATTATTGTGTTATTAATGATATATTGTAATTACTTATTTATAGTAATTTCCTGTCAAGTTATCTGCCTCAAGACTTGATAGCTACTTTTGAAATATGAGGCATTCTTGATGTTAATTTTATTGGTATCTCATTCTGGATATCAATTTTATTAGAACTTAATTTTAGATATTACTTGGATTTGAATTTCATCCAGGATATTAACAGTATTTGGGCTTTATTCTGGAAAATTAAATTTATTAGAACTTCGTTAAAGATAAAACTGTTCTAGAGATTCATGTATTAAAGCCTAATTCTAGATTTTCTAAATATTAATTTTATTATAACTTAAATCTGGATATTCATTTCATTAGTGCTTCCATCTGGAAATGAATGTTCTTAGAACTTCACTCTAGATATTGATTTTAACTTCACCCTGAATATTAATACTATTACAACATCAATCAAGAAATTAATTTATTAGAACAACATTCTACATTTTTTTTATTATTAGAACTTTATTCTAGATATTAATTTTATTAAAAGAAATTACATTTTCACTATTATTTTTCAAACTGAACAATATCAGTAATCTTTTTTTTTTTCTAAATAATGACATTTATCAGCATTTTCATATCTAATATAGTAAAAATGTCATAGCAGTATTTTTTAACCCTAGCCTTCCATCTACAGGGATGCGATCACAGAGCCCCCGAGTGGTACTCAGGTGTTTAAGGACAGCTGGGATTTTGATGTGTATGTGGATAAACTAAACACGGCCATTTCATCAGAAATCTTTGAACACAAAAGCTGGATCCATTTTTATTATAACTGGGCAGGATTTCAGAACTACAATCTGGTGATTCGGGTAAATCATGTTTACTGCTGTCAGCTTTATTCACAGTATGGAGGACAGATAATACCAAAACAATACAACGAAATAATACCATGGCTAGCTTTCTGATATCAACGTCGCTACATTTAGAAAAGGTTTCTTGTACATTTCCTATTACGTTACTATTATGTTCTTATGTATTCTTTTAGCAGTTTAGCAGTGATTTAGCATTTCTAATGGATAGTGATACTGTAGTGAGAATGAGCCCAGAAAGCAAGCATATAGAGGTGCCCTGGCTTAATAATGTTGGCACCTGACTGACTGTATGCCACTGCCAAAATGTTGTTGCTGACACTGTGCTAGATTGGTTACAGCTGCATAACTGGCATCACTGCTGTTAATTTTTTTTACTTAACTAATTATTTACTTAGCTAACATGCAAAGAATAATGAAAGAAAGAAATGAAGTGATAATAAGTAAATTGGACTGTGACTGGAAAAAGAGTGCTGAAAAGTGGCATTTTGTCTAATACACTGCTTATCTACCCAAGAAAAGCTGACCAAAAAGCCACCAGCTTTGCCACTAGCAGGTCAACAGTGGCCTGCTATCCTCTTGCTATCTGGGAGCAAATTGTCTTAGTTGGTTGCTAGCAAGCTAGCTAACTATAGACAGCAAAAACAGAAAAGTAAACACAAGATTATCATGTAATCCAGCTCCTGGCTGACTGCATACCATGCTGCATCTCTTTTGTGTATTAATTTATAGTTGGGTTTTGGGTAAACAAGTCTCCTCCAGGCCCCTATGCAGAGCTCTTGTGCCCCTATTAAACTGAGACACAAATCACAATGACCTGATATAATAGCACAAACTCTTCATAGATCCAAGATTATAACGATGAAATGATCGAAAACATAAAATGTGAATGAACCTGTCTCTAGTACAAGGGGAGAACTCTCACACTCAACACAACCTCATAACATCGGGCAAATACACTGGGAAAGAACAGAAGTGATATGGTGGCGCAATAACATTCAAATTTGTTATATATATAAGGAAAGGTTAATCTCAGTTTACCAATACAGATCAACTGTATGCTTCATTGATGCATTCACGAGTCAACCTTTTTATCTGAGAATCAATCAGTTTTTTGGCATTTGGCTTAAGGTGCTTAAGGTGCAAGGTGAAATCAGTGATTATCCGTGTTGCTATATGAAGCCCCGCCTATGAAGAGCTCAGTACAGCCAAAGCAGTAGCGCTATTGGTCGACAATGCAAATTCAAGTGACAAAGTTGGATTTCCAGAGAAGATTCAATTGCGATTTTTCATTTTTATAAGGTCTACAATGCAACATTCTCGATCACAGTGATTTCCAATTAAATTAATGTATTTTTTCTAAGGAAATTATGCTGTCAGAACAGTAATAATGCAACCTTTATATTAAGATTTTATTTTCCAGAAATCCAAACATTTCTGTAGGCTGTTTTTAATCAGGCAAGCCAAAACTGTGTCAGAACGCACTGCTCTTTGTAAGCTAATCTGAAATAATCTGGACTCTTCAGTTGTAAAATACTCACCTGCTGTTTTCACTGTTGAATGTCTATCAGATGATTGAGACGGATGATGATTTTCAGCCGCTGGATGGTGGTTATGATTATCTAGTAGACTTCCTGGATCTTTCCTTTCCCTCCGCCAGACCGCAGAGAGAGCATGCCTATCTGGAGGTAACCAATAACATCAGATTTTCACACTGTTACATGTTTATAGCATGCCATACTTGCATCACGATATGACACTTCTTGGATAAAGAATTAGTAAAGAAATGCTAACAGAATTATCATATTTATTTATTTATTTATTGGTATTCTTATGCTATATATTATTCTCTCAGTACAAAAATATTACCTTCACTGAAAACCGACCTTCTGTCTTTAAATTGTGTTAAAATCAATGCTCAATGAGAGAACTAAAAACTTTAGTTAGGTGAATGAATCTATCATTTTTAAGAATAAAAAGCCAACAGTGTTTGTTGAAGGGAAAACTGGCTGGAAGATGTGGAAGAAGTGGAAGATGTACATGTTTTACATGTGTATTTGGTAAAAATACATGCACAACATGTGCAACATCATTATGACGTTAATTACATCTGTTTACAACCTGATCTCTGATTTTCTTGTTATTTTTATTTTTATTACTGTTATCTTGTGTTTGTATATATAGCTGAAATTCTAACATGGCTTAGCAAACTGTGGATTCCAAGATTCTCTACAAGTGACCAAATGGTGCAAATCAGAGTTTAAAAGCTTCCCTGTGGAGTCATTTGTTTTGGCATTTGGCAGCTGCTTGAAACCTGTGTGGAGAAGTATTTTCTGTGACTTGTTTTTTCTCCACACTCCAGTAATCGATACATTTAGATGAGCTAGCATAGTTGAGGCCTTAGTATGGGTATTTGATATTAAACCATACTGTCTCATGCTATTTTGCTATTTTGTAAGTTGTGAATTATATTATTTGAGCTGTATGCTTTTCTTTTACCTTTTAAATCATTGAAAGTAATTCAAATGTGGTTTGATATTCAGCCAGTAAATTTCCTTTCGATTGCAGCATCCTTGGTGTGAGCGTTGTGTCAATTGTGTTGAATAGAACTACAGAAATCATTCTCGTTATCATGCATTTTATAACAATTAAATTAATCTAAAATCCCAGGGCGCATTGTCTCTCAACTCCCATATCATAAACACTGAGAAATAACATGTATTGTGATACCCTTACTAAATGAGTGTTTCATATGACACTTTATGGGTTTTGATATTAACATATATTTTCTTTGATAATCTATGTTTTATTTAACATTGTTTTCTGAATAATTATCGTGGTCTGCCACAAATATGAGCTAGATGTTTTCAAAAATAATTGTTATTAGCCTACATTGCAGTTGCAGTTTAACTTTTTTTCCGATATATGAGAAAAAAAGTGGAACTACAAAATAAGGTTTCTTCATTGTGGTCTAATGGCATGCTGCTTTATTTATCACCGTCATCAATCTAATAAGGCTTCTATAGCTAACTAGGCTATCTTAGCCCAGCAAGTGTTTATTAGCTAATGTTAAAAACTAAAGCCACAGCTTTAAGGATCTAAAGGACACCGTATGGAATGGGGCCTTTCACTTATCATAGCAAATCTGATCAAATTTTGGCTATACTTTGTTAAACATTTATAAACATGTTTCTTTGTCTTTTTATGCTAATTAGCAATCACATTTCACAATAAAGACATCACAGGCACCAAAATGGCCACATGCATGAATTTCACCACTGAACTAATTGATCTGGTTATGTTTTCACTGTTTATTTAGATCCAGAACAGAGTGGGGGTGATAAGGCATGTGGTTTTGAATGGCCTGCTGTGGGACGATCTGTATATTGGCTTCAACAACAGAATCAGCCGAGATCCAGATATCTACCACCACAGGTACACACACACACAATACAGACCCGCACACAGTACTCACACATAATATATACACACACACAATACACACCTGAACCCAGTCTATTCCTGACCCTTGCTTTTAAAGCGATACGCAGTCGATACGTAGATGATTAGCCAAGACATTTTGGTGATTGAAGTTTGCTTCTTCAGTTTTACACTGGTGCTATAACACTAATGTAGCCAACGAGTAATGGAAGCTTACCCCACCTATTCGCATGGTGCTAACTGCATGTTTAGATCATTACACATTTGTCTAAAATCATGCTGAGTTTTTCAGTAATTTTAAATATACTTGCTTATCATGCGTCATGGCAGGAACATTTTTTTTAAATGTTGTCAGAAATGTTATCAGAAATAAAACATTGGTACTTATCTGACAACTAATAAGTATTTTTTTACAAAGATGTTTGTTCTTATTTTTAAAAAAGACAGTGTTCAGCTGAGGTGAGGCTGCTGAATAATGGTCAAGAGAGCAACAGAATGACATTGTGTACAGAATGATTGCGCAGCATAAATTTAATTTGTGTGATCTCATTAAACATTAGAATCCATGATGTGTATCTGTTGGTTGTTGATGTTTTTTTAATGTGTTTTGGCTTTTTGATTGGTTGATTTCACAATGTAAAGGATCCTAATGGTTTAACAGGCGACCAGGCAACAATGTTTTGTATTTGATGGTTTCCTGATGGGATCTTAAGGTGTTCTACAGGAAACTAGTGGTCTCTACTGGAAACCATTAAGTCAATTTCCATTAGAAAGCAAAAGGGTTTAATCCTAATCGATTCTAATGGTCCTTTTTCAGCAGGGTGGTCACCCAGCATGATTAGCTGGTTTATTTTATTATTATTATTATTATTACATATTTATTCACTTCTGCTGAATAAAAATGCAAGTGCTGCCTGTTTATTGGTTTTTGACACTGTATGATGCATTGTTACTTATAACAAGGACTAAAGCACCGAGCACAGCTAAAAACAGTAGTAACGATATCTAAAAGCCTGAATTTTTGTGTATTAAATTTCTGTACATGCACATACACAGACTTTACCACCTGCCTGTCTCTGTATCTGTTTAGCCTCCAGTCAGTGAATCCAAGGCTGTAATTTTGTCTGATTTTGTCTCACAGGTTTTGGAAACACTTCCAGTCAGAGTTGCCACTGTCAGCACCGGACTGGGACAGCTTCCTCAGAAACTCTTCCACGCCACGAAGCACAAAAACACACCTCATCCTCTGGGATTTCCGTTCTGTGACCTCTTACTTTTGGCTGAACTTTTATTCACTATTACAAAGAGTGTTCCGCTACTTTTGGTAGAGTCATTTGTATTAGCACAAGTGCTGTTTATACTTTACCCAGTCTGGTGGGATGCAGGTGATTCAGCTTGATTCATCTAAACCACTTATAAGCAGTACTCATTTTTCTACTATCGATCACTATAGTAGATCTGAACATTAGACTGATGTTTTTGGAACAGCCATCAAACCACAGAAAACACTGAGAGAACAACTTTTACTATACAAGCTCTCATACAGCGAGAACAGTCCTTAATTTACATAATTAAAGGGCCTATATCAAGCTAAGCAAAAGCAAGGCAGGTTTATTTATCTGTCACTCTTAAAAAAAGGTTCTTTAAGGGTTCTTAGTACCATTGTGAAAAAGTTCCATATAGCACCATAAAGGGTTCTTCCACTGTGTCAAACTTGTAACAAAAGAAGAGCCCTTTTTGGTGCTATATAGAACCCTTTTTAAAAAGATTGTATATAGAACCATCTACAACACATTCTCTATCAATCTGAAGAACTATTTTAAGATGCAAAGACTCCTTTAAGCATGCAAATGGCTGTTTGAGTGTTCATGGTTCTATGTAGAACCATCTTTGCTAAAGAACCCTTAATGAACCATCTTTTTTAAAAATGCAGCAGCACGGTAAAAAAGAGCTGGTCATAAAGTCACTGGCAGTGATTAACACACTGGTGCCTTTTAATGCTGTGGTATTTTCACCTGTGTCATAGGCAAGAGCCAGTCAAAATCAACATGTAAATGAGGTAATACATATTAAAAACCCATATCAAATGAAGCTCTAGTTCGAACAGAGCTGTGAATTTTAAGGAATAAGAGCTGACAAATAACAGTAAATGCAGAAATAAATGAACATTGGTAAAGATATAGGAGACAACTGTAAAATATGCCCGACCAGCACCTCCATCTACATCACCAGCATCTACACTCTTTGTCCATTTTATCAGCCACTTAGGTGTACTTTGTAGTTACAGACTGTAGTTTGTCTGTATCTTTGCATACTTTGTTAGCACTTTTTACTCTGTTCTTCAATGGTCAGGCTCCCCAGAGGATCACCACAGAGCAGGTATTATTTAGGTAGTGGATCATTCTCAGCTCTGCAGTGGCATTGACATGGTGGTGGTGTGTTAGCGTGTGTTGCGCTGGTACGAGTGGGTCAGACACACCAGTCCACTCAATGTAAATACTCTAGCAGCACTGCTGTGTCTGATCCATCTGCCATTATTTCAGTCAAGTCTTCAGCTCAGCCGGTGCACCAGATTTTGAATGTAAATCTATCATTTGCTTAACATGAGTTGTTTCTGGTTAGTTGATAATGAGTTGGTTCGACTGAAAAATAATCCATGTTAACAAAAAAACTACTGTAAAACCACTCTCGCTATTTAGAACCCCGGTGTAATTTTAAGTGACATCCTAAAAAAGGTTAGTCTTCACTTATTCACTTGAAATGCTCAATGAGGTATCAATCACTTTTACCTTGCTGCTGTTCAGTTACTTCATTAGGTGCATAAAGTAAATTAGCTGATCAAACTTAAGCCAACAGGGAGAGCTGATAAATGGCCTTCTTAACGCCTCTCAATTTTACATTGAGAGCAGAGCTTTTATAGAATATATCTATACATGGCTATATCTTGTGGTAGCAGGTTTATGTTAATCCATGTGTTCATTGTGTTCTTCTTAAAATCATATTTTATTGGCTGCCAGCTGCTACAAGAATCAAGAGTAACCAGTTGGAGGCACACACTTTTCCTGTAAAAGTTAGTTTGAACAGCTTCATTCACTATCAAGATATTTAGCTCATTTTATTTGACAGTAATGTTATTTATTTATATTACAAGGTTGATTGATGGTATCTCGGGATAATTGTAATAACATTATTTTGATAGAAGACAATCTAAAGGTGTAATATGGTACAATATAATATTCTTTGTTATGTGTTTTTTATTTTAATATGGGTTGTTGCTATATTTAAAATTATGCTCTAGTTGCTGTTTTATAATTCTAATAATTAACTTTGAGTGTCTGCCCCTCTAAGTGTCTCTGCATGGTCTTGCATGAAAGCATGACGTTTATGATAAACAGCCAGTTGCATGAAACATGAAGAGGAGTTGCCAAAGAGAGAAAAATAAATGATACTATCTAAATTTGTAGAGAATAAACCATTTATAGCCGAAAAAAGCAAAAATGTTGCCACTGCCTCCAGGGTTAGATCAAACTATGCTTAAAATAAGCTTAGTAAGCAAGAAATATTGCATTAAGAGCAGTGTATAGAGATTGCGAAGATACCAGTAATTTAACTCGAATTTGATTAGATTTAACTTTAATTTAATTGGAACACCAAATGAGCATCGACTCATCAGAAATGCACAAATTAGCTGGTAAAAATATATATAATTACGACAGCTTGGCATTGTTATTCTTAATATTTAGCTTCAAGTTTCACAACATATCAGCTTGCAAGATGAGGGGCCCCAAAAAGCTATAGCCAGCCCTGCATATTAGAGATGTATTCTGGGTTGAAATCATTTAGTGACCATTAGACTAGTAGCAGCACTTTAAAATCTATTATGTCTCCAACCAGAAGACTGTAAAGATTTTAGAACTGGAGTAATGTGCTCGGTTCTCTTGGTTCTGGTTGGAGCAGGAGCCTTCTTGATGAGCTGTAGTTATTTAATGGTATTTTGGGAAGTCCAGTTAAGAGACCATTATAGTAATCCACCCTGCTAGAGACAAAAGCATGAATGAGCTTCTCTAAGTCTTATTGGGACACCAAACCTTTGATTCTTGTTTTTAAAGTGACAGAAGACTGTTGTGGTAATTCTTTTTATATCACTAATGAAGGTGATATCTGAGTCTACTCGAATGCCAAAATGTCAGACTTGATCTTTGGTTTTTAGAGCCCAGGAATCAAGGCGAGCACTAATACGTAGTCTCTTATCTTTGTTGCCAAACACAATAATCTCCATTGCGTACTTACTTAATTGAAAAACATTTTGCTGCATCCGATTATTTATGTGTTCCATGAATTAAAACAGTGAGTCTGAAAAATCTTTATCATTGCTGTTAATAAAAGACTTGATATATTGTGCACATCAGTTTTTGAAATAAAGTTTTTAGTTGTATTCTGAGTAGGAGTTTTTGTTAATGTTAATGTACTCAGTCCAGATGGTCCTTAGAAGGAAACTAAACTGCAAAACTGCCCTTTTTGAATTTGTTATGGCTGTGGGGACACAAAAACAAACACTCTTACCTGTAACTGCAAACTCATTTTTACATTCAGAGAGATGCAGAGTGATTGCGCAGCTGAAGCTTGTTGCTAGGCAGTTGCTAAGGCATTTCTAAGCAGTTGCTATGGCAAAAGGCGTGTATACTGTGGTCGTTAGGGGGTTGCCTAGTGGTTGATAGTTATTAAAAAATGAATTGGACTCTATAGGAGGAATGAGGGATGAAAACCAACACATAGAGGAGTATGGGTCAGTATGGCTGCGGATTAGACCTTGAGCTCCTTCCCCTAGTGAATGCATGTAGTTTGGTTGCTGTCAGGCTAAAAAGAAAGATTAGGGTTTGGGTTGAGACGAAAATGAATAGGATGGGGGTAGGACGAGTGCTGGTCAGTATGACTGTGGATTAGGGCTTGGGGACCTGCCATGAGTGAGTACATGCAGTTTGGTGGCTGTTGGGCTAAGAAAACAATAGGACTGGTGTGTGGGTAAAAATGAATGTGATTGTACAGGAGGAACGAGGGATGAAAAACAACACAGAGAGTAGCGCAGGGCAGTATGGCTGTGAATTAGAGTTTGAAGACCTGCCCTGAATGAGTGGATGCAGTTTAGTGGATGCAGTTTAGTGGCTGTCAGGCAAAGATATAATTGGGCTTGTGTTAGGAAGATTATAGAGCTTGGACTTTATATGAAGTTGAAGGGGAAAGAGAACCGATTTTTCTCAATTTTTGCCAAGTCAAGTGATGAGTAGTAAGTTATTAAATGGTTTAATTTGAAAGGGTTTATTACAGCAAAACTTTGATTTCTTTAGTGGTGGTGACAGGAACCAGGGGTTGTGACGTTACAACACAAATACAGTTATAGGCTTCATGTAAATACAAATACAGTTATAGCCTATAGTTTCACAGGGGAGAACGGGCTGTCATGAACACTTTTTATATATCATGAATTTTTATATATCATGAATTTAAAATAAATGTATATTTATTCCAGACAATAGTTGTTGTGTATTTACAGCTGTTGTTCATCCATAGAAATCAAAACATTAAGTTCAGCTATTACATTTTTAGAATTGTGACCCATCAAAAAAAATTGGCTCTTTGGCACAACATGCCCCCAGACTGGACATATATCACTCTTACAAAATACCAACAGGCAGTTTAATTCTGAGAGGTAAAGAGAGTTTGGAAAATGGTGATGGAAAAATGATTTATGGCTGTTTTTGGTACATAAACATAAATTTACAGAAAAATAAATGTGTATTTATTCCAGACAATAGTTGTTGTGTATTTACTGTTGTTGTTCATCCATAAAAATCAAAACATTACATTCAGCTATTACACTTTTAGAATGGTGACCCATCAAAAAAAAAAAAAATTGGTCCTTTGGCACAACATGCCCCCAGACAGGAGTAAATTGAGCATAGGGAGGGGGAAAGTTAAGCCCAGTGAGGGTGACGTGCCACACTTAAATAAGATACCTACATAAAGAATAATTCAAAGAATTTAATCAAAGAAGTGGGGTTCAAAGAAGGGTTGTTGTGTTTGCAATATAATTTATAGTTATGATTAATAGAGAACAAAGTGACTCACAAACTTGCTCGTTCTTGCTCCGTGCAGTTCTCAGGAACAGAAACGCCAGTCCAATAGTTTTCTAGTTTTTCTACCATTCAATGCATCTGGTATCAGTCCCAGAACACCTACACTGTGATTTCAACCCAAAAACACCACTAATGACTACTGGACACCACCAGGAACCAAAAGATCCTTTCAATGGCTCTCTACGATTTTTTCCAGCATGTTAGTCTCTTAATGTGGTTGACAAGTTCACTTTACATCTTATCATCAAAAATCTTTGAGACTTTGCCTGTGATAACCTGTCCTGAGAATTTCTCCTTGATCAAGTTTCTTGATATACATTTTTTCTCCGCTGCAGCAGACTGAACACATTTCCCATTTGACACTGACTGGCTGCTCTCCTCAGATCTTTCAATGGAGTTCAGCCCCTATTGGTTTTACATTTGTGGGTTCTTGGCAAGATGGAAATTCTGCAACTTCACTACAAAACAATATGCATGAATGTATTTGCTTAAATATAATTCATTTCCTTTTAATTGAGGTAATTTGAGCTATTGGCTCAAAGAAAATACCTGTGTCTGTTTCTTTTAGCAGGCAAGACTGATAACATC